ACGTTACTCTTGATCATCTGTCCATCATCGTATAAAGCCCGCCCTGACAATTTGATTGGATCGCCTGACAGTGGGCGATAATACTCGCGCTACTATGGAGCAGAGCCAGATCGAACTTCCCCGAACTCAAACCTTGTGGGCGGGACTAAGTTCGGACTGGCACCCAGGCTAGTTCACCAGCACACTGTTTTAAGCTTCTTGTCCATCTCTGATGCACCCAATAATTGCAGTCATTGGATAATTTCTGCAGACGTGCCTTATATTGGAGGAGGTGCTTGTAGTAAAAAGGAATAGTGAGAGTACAATCCCTTGTGGTGCTATTGTGCTGCTGACTACTTGATTAAACATTTGATCTTCAAGTCTCACAAACGGCACACTTCTTGTCAGGTAATCTTTGAACCAGGCAATTGTTGATGCTTCCACTTGAATCTTCTAAAGTTTCTCACAAAGTAAATCAGGTTGAAGTGTGTCAATTTCACTGGAGAAATCAAAGAAAATCATCCTGTCTGCCTTGTCTAAATGCCAGTAGGTTTGTAAAGCAGATGTATAGAGGTACCTTTAACTTCAGGCCAGTAAGCAAATTGCAAGGGACCCTGATAGTTGCTTGTTTGCTTACTGAGGTGAACCAACAGAAGTCTCTCAGGGACCCTCATGATTTGGAATGTCAGGGCAACACGTCTACAATCATGCAGGAGGTGTTCCAGAACACTGGAACCTTTGTCAGGTTAAGGTTGAAGAGATGCTGTAGAATCCCACAGAGATGCTCTGAACAGGCCTTCAGCCTCTGAGGCTGTCACCATCTGGATCTGGTGACTTAGTGCAATCCAGTCTCTAAGCTTCCTCTTCACTTGACTTCCAGAGGCAGACAGGTGAAAGGCAAAGGCTGCAACACAATCGTCCGATTTGGCTAAGCAGAGGGGTCAATGGCAGAGGAGGATTAACATTTTGAGGTGGGATAAAGAAGCTTCGGGTCAAATGAGAACAGGATATCCATTTGACAGTAGAAACAGATGCTGAGCTAGCTCCTCAACTGAACCTATTGAAGAATTTATTCAATTCACTGTCTCTGCAGTGACTTTGTCGTGTTGGGAGTTTGCTTTCAAGCTTTTTTCCCTATTCTCTTCTTGCTTTCTCTTAACTTTACCTTAGGTTGCCTTTGTATACTACTCAATAATTTCATGTCTCCCTTTCTGAATTTTTTTTTTCCTTGTTGGGCACTTTTTTTACTGGGGAAGGATTTCACTATTCTGGTGGGAGCAGTGTTTTTTACACAGATATGTATGTAGTCAGACAGTCACATGCTGAGTAATTGCATTGATGCTCTCTTCATGTGGCTGACAGTCCATCTCAGTCTGTAGCCTCAAAACAACCTTGCCAGGTGACCTATTCATGAAGGTTTTATCCTACAAAATCAAATGCTATTGGATAGGTTTCAATACATTACTGCAAACAGAAATTGATAAAGAAAACAATTTGAACCATGACTGTTACAAAAAACCTTTATTTTTGCAGAAATACTAGAAGCAGACTGCAAAAAACGACAAAACAAATGTGGCTTCTTGCGATCAGCAGCTTTTATTTTTCTTTAAATTGAATGACTTGTGTGCATTCACCTGTGGTGTCTTGCTGATCCGGCAGCATCGCATTTATTTTTACTCACTTCATAGTGAAAACAGCAGCACAATTTCTCATTAATAAAACATTGATTTTTTTAAGACAAAATTGCATTTTGAAGAAAAATAAGATGACAAGTGGGAAGAGGGAGTAAAAAACTTATTGCTTCTAACTCACACACGCAAAAAAATATTTTGCAATCAAAGAAAACACACTAAAATAAATAAGTAGCTCCATGGAAATCTATATGGTTAATTTGCGCTGTACAACTAGTGCAATTCAAAGTGCTTTAGATAATTTTTAAAAGCTTTTTATGTTTTATTTTTTCTATTTACATAAACCTCTCCTAGAAATCTAGCGTAAGATTCCTCCATCTTCTTTTGAGAATGTATTTCACTATACACTGGAGATTAGAGACTACTTATAATAGCTAAGGGCAGCTGATATATTATATAATGTACAGCAACCTTGTACAGTGTAGGTTAAAATGGAAACTGCTTTACAATGCAGCATTATCTGTTAACACTGCAAAACGTCTAGTTAGTGATTCAGCTCTTTAGAACATGACAAGACAGTCCTTTGAGTAATGAATTTCATGAATTAAAAGTTATAGCAAATTATTCAAAGCCTCCTGCAGCAAGCGAACACAAGCTATGTGTTTGTATATTTCCAGTGCCAAGCTTCAAGTTTATCACTAGTCTTTAGTGTAAAATGTAAAAAGCACACTACCTTTAGATATTTATATATTTTTTTCACTGATTAGATTTTTTTAGATGGTATATATATCTGTTTATTTTATTATTGTTCCCCTTTTGCATATTTTTAAGTAAAGATACTTCTTTAAAGATATTTGCATGTGTTCTGCCAAGATGTTGCAAAATATTACAGAATACTGCATGAATTAAAAGATTGATTTGGCAAAAAACACATGGGAGCATTTTGTGAATAGGGCCAGAGCAGACTCGATAGGCCAGATTTCATTTTCAACTATTTTAAAACCAAATAAGAGAAATTCAAACAGGAATATAAACTGATTAGACGAACATAGCTGTGGTCACATTTGCTTTAATTTTACATTCCATATGAGTATCCATCATAGCTTGGGAGCCAGACACCCTAGTTTAAACAAGTAATGCTGCATCTTTAAAACCTAAAATTAAAAGCTATGCTTCAAATCTCAGATTTAAAAAAAAATATTTTAGACATAATTTGTCTGCTGTTACATTTACAAAAGTCAGCAAATAGCATGATTCTTTTTGCCTATTGTAATGTAAAATATGATAATACACACAAATCTTAATTTGCATCTTGTACTGATACAATTAAACTTTAAAAAATATGACACTATAGATTTATGACCCACTTATATATATATTTTTTTATAATTAGGCACTGCTCCTGTAAGTTTTACAAAATAATCAAGTGTTCTTGACAAGCTATGAAACAGCCTCTTAAAGCCGTAGAAACCATTAAACTGCTTTACTTTTTCTCCTTGCCACAGGTATCAGTTTTTTAGAAATCTTCAGGCTAAAAAAGTGAAATAAAATGCCATTATTTTCCATAGCAAAAACTCTTGTTTTATTCAGACATATTGCAGCATTTGTTTTTTTTTGACTGGTGATATAATTAATACTAATAGGCTGTAAAATCATATCAAAAAGTCAAAAGCTATTACTATCAAATAATATTGTAAAGCTTAAGTAAATGGCTTGAAGTATAAGTGTGACCAATATCTTGACCCATCTTTAACATACTGAAAAGACAATAAAACTTGCCTCTCCTTTATATTCTTTCCATTTTCTCTGCTGGGAGTTCAAAATATCCACTGACTCTCTATTTAGAAATTAAGAAAAGTTTCTCAGTTGGTTTATATTATTGCATGACAAGAAAGCATCTTAAGAGATGGATAAAGGCTCACAATAAAAAAATAAATAGTGCACTCTTTTTTCATTAAGTGCAGTGCTGCAAAACTTTGTTGCTCAGCAGCTTTGTTGGCCCTAGGACCGCATCCCATATTCTAATTAATCAAATTTGGTGCAGCGACTTTCTAGCTGTTGTGCTTTTGTTACAGCTTAGCTAGCGAGACTGATTGGCCTGATCTCTGAATTGAGCAGCATCATTGATTTGAAGATTGGGGAAACAGCACAACGCCATTTTACTTGGCATGGATAAGCCTTGGAAAACACATCTCACTCCCTCTCATGGACACATGCTAATATTGGCAGCCAGAGGTGTCTAGAGATGCATATATGTGCGCATGATCTCCTACTTGGCATCACTGAGTGACCCAGCTGAGGGGATCAGGCTACTCTCTGGATCACAATGTGAATGCTATTTTGAGCATTTTGTTTACTTTCCAAAAACATTTAGCCTATCAAGATCATTATCCCTTTCAGCATTTCATATCGTCTGCTCTTTTCTTCTGCTCCATTTCGTTGTCTCCTAGTGTGCATTTTCTTTTTTTGTGCTCCATGTGTATCTTTCCATCTCTATGATTTAATTGAATTTTTTTCTTTCCTTGGCTTCAAATAGCGCTGTTGACTGCTTGGCTGGTTTGGCACAATATTGAGCCTCCCAACAGGTAAACATGCTTTGTCTGCAATAAAAAAATCCTCACACTAACACACACAAGTCTCTACCCTACCCAGAATAAAATAGAGAAATACCTGTTTAAATCTGCAGCACAACCTGTTTTTGTGTTTATCAGGTAATATCTTGCAAAAGTATTTATATGCCTTGAACCTTTTGGACTTTTCTCAGAAATAGAAACACAATCCACTATAAATGAGAAGCCAAGCAAAGAGAGCATACAATCAGGGAGGAACCCAAGAGCTACAAGGTTAATCTGAGGGAGCTGCAGAGATCCACAGCCAAGGTGATAAGCTCTGTTAACAGGAGAACTATTAATTGTGCCCTTCACAAAACTGATGTTTATCAGAGTAGCATAAAGACAATCTATTAAGAGAAAGGAATACAGAGTGATGTTCGCAAATAGACAGAATAGTATTCTGATCAGATGATATCCAAACTTAATCTCCTGTCCTGAATGCAAAAGAATGTCCGGGAGAAAACTCCTCAAGCACACAAACCTCACCATGGAACATATTGGTTGGGGCATCTCTACCAGGCAGAAAAGGAGGACTTATCAGAGTTGATGTGAATATAGAAATAGATAACCACAAGGTAGGTGGTGGAAGAAAATCTGTTAGAAGGTTGCAAAAAATTAAGGCCAACACAGCCTCCACCACTGACACATGGCTGGAGTTTCAATTGAATGGTTTTCTCACACTATCTTCATATGTTAGACCTATGCAGCAAAGTCCTGAGCTAAATACAAATTAGAAACATCCAGTCTAACTCAGCCTGAGCTTTTTTTTTTTACAAAAAAAAAAAAATGGGGAAAAAATGTATTTTCTCTGGAAGGGCAAAGCTGCTGGAGACATCTCAAAAAGACTAGCTATACAGAGTTACAGGGACTACAAACATGTCACATTGCTCAGATTTCCAATGCTGTGCCACTTTGTGCTAATCCATCACAAAAACTCCCACTAAGGTACATTGAAGTTGGTGCCTGCATCACTGAAATTGTGAAGAAAGTTCCAGGGCTACGGTTACTTTTGTGATGCACTATGTGAAAGCTGTGTGAGATGATGCGTGTGTTTTCTCAGACTTTCATCTGTCCTTCAGTTTAGTACAACTTCCTGTACACGTGAATTTCTTCATCTTGCTAACAGCGCACACCCTTGTTGGATGTGTGTGTATGTGGGTCTCTCTCACTTTGTCTGCACAGGGTGCATTATTGGATGCAGTAGACCGGACACCGCCAGAGGCGTACACTGAGCGGTCACGCGGCGTGACAGAGAAGAGAGCAGAGTCGCTGTCAGAAGACCTTTTTAACACACTGCTGCTCTCCATTCGGGGACATTGCAGGAGCGGTTGACTGCAAAAGGATTCTGCGAAGGGATGATAAACACAGTTCTCCAAAAACACCCGCAGAGAGACCACTGAAGCCCCAGAGGCTCCCTACCTGAAAACACATCGCTAATACCTTTGATCTATCCAAAGAGATGTGCGAAGTGGGGAAAAAAATGGGAAAGAACAGTTTGGATACTCAAGCGGATGCAACGTTAAAGTGAGACAGCAGTAACACATTTTTGATAAATCCCTTTTAAACGGGTGTTAGAGTTGGTAGAATTTAACTTTATTAGGTTTTATTCTTGTTCTTTAACTAGTCTGTGCATGTAGCTAAAACTAAGTTGATCTTATTTTCTTCCATCCAATCATGTTGTCCTGAATGAGAAAATATTTGGTTTTGACCTGTAGTTGTCTTTCTTTTTATTAAGACCACTCACCGTTTTTCAGCATCTGAAATGTTAGTCCAAATGAAATACCTTGAAGAATGCAATTAACTTTCACATCCTTAAAGGTCAGCTTTAAGTTATCAGCTACTCCCAAACACTAGCTGTAAATAAGTAGTGTTAGAAATGTTCTGAGAGTTATCCTAATTTTTTTAAAATAGTTTTCAAAGAATAGATAGATGTTAGGGAAACACACAGTTATGACTTAATTTATGTTAAGTGATTTAGATGTTGTGCCTAAAAGCATTTCATTTAATTTTCTCAATCACAACATTGTCCTCTCCCCTGTTGGTGAGCTTTAGCATATTGGTCATTAAAATCTAAGATAGCTGAGGGCAACTTTATACATAAATTAACTAGCAAAATACTGCATCCAAGCAGCTTCTGCCATTGCAGCTTTTCTCATAAAGTTGCAAAGATAGTTGAAATTAAAAATGTGCAGCTCTCTACATAAGACAAAAAAATATATAGATAAGGAAACTAAATGTTTAATTTTCTTTCATGAGTACTACTCGCTCCTGCAGGGTTTGAAAAGTGAAGGAGAATAGCAGTCAACAAGAGAACATTCATACACAGTTTGTAATTTAGCACAGTAGAAGGCCAATTCATGTAGCTTGGGAAAAAAAAAGCAAACAGAAGAGGAGGAGTGGACAATCTGCATGTAGCGTACCTTTAGAGAACCTTGTTTCAGTAAAAAACACATGGCACGTTTTGCTTGTTTGATGCTGTGATTTTTGTCTCTCTATTAACAGCACCCATGATGCCAGGACGTTAATCTTGTGATGTTACCCTTTTTGCAAAAGAAAATCTGGGGTGATGATTAAAAAAAAAAAAAAAAAATCTGTTTTTACCATTAAAAAAACAAAAACAAATTGGTAAAATGTGGGTTTGCTCCAGGTCAGTTCTCCCCTTCACATTTATATTACCTGCTAGCCCACCATATAATCTTTACTTCCTACTTCCCTTTTGTTCCCATGTACAACCACATACATTAGATCATTCTAAGTTTAGTTAGGCATTTCAGTGAATTATGCTGGAAAATTATAATCAACAGTAATATTTTACTTCTATTTTTAATCCTAATCTTGATTTATCTCTCAGTTTAGAGCCAATAAACAGCAATAAAATATGTCAGTTTTCAACCCCAGCTCAAACTAAAGTTTAACAGATGATTCCAAGTGGACGACATTTATGGTAGTCACATAACCCAACAAGCTTAAAGCAGACTTTGAGTAAAATGTAAAAAAAAATAAAACTTTAAATCATAAGTCTTCATGTACCTCTGGCAGTTACTGATTGATTCGGTCAGTATGAAGACAAATTATTTGGCTGAAAAAGATGATATACGAACTATACTCGCAAAGTGCACAAAGTTACAACATAAACTATTCATGGAGACGATGATAAAGACAAACTGTATTAATTCTATATAAGCGTGTCCTTTGTTATAAAGTCGCTTGAGATTACTCTTGCTTGAAATCCTGTATTTAAACTAAACTGATTTAGAATCTTTGAAAAAGAGGAACAAATTGTTTCGAGGTTATTTGCAAAACTGTGACAAGAAGTTATGACTTTCATTTAATCAATATCTATAGCTGTATATCTAACATCTGTATCAATATTAACAGATGCCACCCTGTTTTCTGCCATGTCTAACAGTTTCTGAGGCTTGGATATTAAAAAATGATTTTTCATGCAGTGATTCGGTTCTAATCAAACTTACTTCTCTCTGCTTTTATTTATTCTAAAATTGCACAAATGAAAGTATTAGACTTGCTGTGTTTTTTTGTGGTATTTAGTACTTTTGCTCGCCCACATGCCTGAAAGCTTTATTATACTGCTCAGTTCTGATATTATCACTATTTTTGCTATCGCTTCACCAACAGTGGAGTATTATGTTCTCTGTCACCTAAACATCCATCATAGACCATTTCAGCGCAGGGTCGATTATCCTTTTTACTAATATTTACAGAGAAGGTTATTTACCCAAAATATTAGCACAGTATGGTGAAATGAGCTTAAATAATGCACACAGCTATGGTGGGGAAAGCAGTTTTTTTCTTTGTTCCTCAAAGCCCTTTTAGCTCAGCGTTTTAACACCCCAACACACACTCTCGTTTACACATGCACATATTTTCTGTCCAGAAGTGACAAGCTTCAGAGCACTTTGACAAATTAGCTTTTCAGTCTGCTGCAATGCTTTTCACTTTTCCTTTCACCCCCTTTTTTTTTATATTCAGTCCCACTGGCTGTTTTTGCTCCCAATTCCCTCTGGGCCTTCTGAAGCACAGCAGAGGTCACAATCACATCTCCTCCGTGGTTAAAAGCCAAATGCACCTGTGTGTCAAAGGGCAGAGCTGTTTGAGAACAACCAGTCCCAGAATTCAAAACTGGATATTAGCTAGAGGGCTGTTACAAAAGAAAATGAAACGTGGTATTTAAGTGCAAAGTGTGAAAAGAGTTTTTCTTCCATTCTTAGTATTCACAAACACCTCGAAAACAAATGAAACTGACTTGTAATATAAAATCATTTTCAAATCTGACATTGGCTACATCCTGATGAAGGATAAAATATGCAATGTTGAACATGTTGGGAATCTAGTATAAAAATTTTACCAATTAGTAGTAAAAAAAACAAAATGACTGTCATTTATTTAACAAGAAAGATAGAAGTAAAAATAAAATAAAATAAAATCCACAACTTGTGTGGCCTGGGGGGAGGAAAGGAGAAATTTCTGTGACAAATCTTTGGGGCTCCTTGGGAAATCTTTGGGTTAGGTTGACATAGGTGCCTTTTCATGACACCTTTTCCACACCCCACTGTAAATCTCAGTGAGGCTGTGAAGTTCTGAGAGGCTGAAGGTGTGAGGATTGACAGGATTTCTGAGCCTGCACCTGGGGTTCAGCGTTAAAGCAGGGAAGGCCTCTCGTCGGAGGAGGCAGCTGCTTTGTCTGGTAAGCCGGAGGCCCTAAAGAACTACCTAATTTCAGAGAGGCAAAGCCACCAGTACCTCCTGAATTGCACGCAGGGAGAGATATTTGCTTGTTGATGCGAGGAGACTGCAGCATGCGAGGGCGAGCCGATCGAGCTGATCTTGGAGCGTCAGAGTTCTGCGCTGTCACAGCAGGAGCTCTCCTCCCAAGCTGTGAAGAGGACTGAGGTGCTGACGCTCGACCGTCTATGCCAGTTATTCCCTGTAGAGCGCCGGAGCGGAGGCTGCGCAGGTTGGTCCTGGGCAGATGACTCAGCTTGTCAGAGCCTGCCGCCCCTGACATATCTACTTTAGTAGCTTCAAGAGGACGGTCATTATCTATGCAAGTGGCTTCCTCTGATCTGTTCCATGTGAGCTTACTGTGGCCCTCGGTGGGGGGAATTTTTATTAGTCTTTCCTGGTCCGGCTGCTCGTTGAGATTGGGGTTGAAAGGCTGAAGCGTTCGAGGCTGCAGAAGAAAAATGAAAAGGATTAAAACAGAATAGTCATTGTTTTCAGAGGTGGTGTGGTTTTGATCCCCATGGTAACCATGCTGCTGTAAATGAATTTTCACATCAAAAAGCATACAAACATTCTGCCTTTTCCCACCTGCTTGTTTACTCTTTAAAACTGAAGGTTTTTTTTCTTTGACAAGCTCTGAACTATTCCCGATGTGTGGATCAAAGAAGCACAGAGGAAGTGTTAAAAAACAAAAATAACTTTTTCATGTGTGGGGTTCTTCTGATTTGCGTCCTGTTGAACCATTTTGTGGATATGGTAACAATCTAACTGAGGGGTATAAAGCCTGCAGACTGTATATAGTATTGGACCACCTGACATTTAAACTAGAAATATGTTGAACAAAAGACATATTGACCTCACAAACAACCATCAGGTGTCCAGCAGTGCAAAAACCCTATATTATGAATTTGTTAGGGAGGTACTAAACAGAGTAAACTGAAAAAAAATCCTCTATTGAAGCATTATTAGTATGAATATGATAATGCAGATAGTTCATACAGTAGGTAGAGCAGAATCTATGCCATGATCTATATTCAGCTCAGTTTAAATGGGGTTGGATTTAGAACAGTATTTGGTTCCAGTTAGTCGCTTTCAGCTGGAAATTGATAACTTTATACTTAGCTTGTTGTGTTATCATTGTACTTCTTCATGCTACTTCCTTCTTTTCTTATTAGATTTATATATTTTTTGTTTGAAATTTCCTTATAAAAAACATCAAACAAATCTGTGAGTTAGGCTTGCTTCCTTTAGATCAAAGAATATTTATTAATGTGTTAGGTGAGGCAAGATCCTCGACTTCACTAGATTTAGTTCAGAGACTTCTAGTTGAAACCTGACTAAGCATCAGCTATTTTGCCATGAATATTGGTTTGAATAAAACACCCTAAATGTGTATTTCTGGTGGAGATGTACACAGGTAGGGTTGTGGAATAGAAATTCAACTTCCATTTTTCTGGTTTTTAATTAGAAAAGTAATGCAAGTTACTCTTAATATTATAATGTTGAAGACATCTGCTGTGATTTCTTCAGAACTTTAGTTATAACCAAGTGGTTGAAAAAGTTAACATCTGGATGCCATCACGTGTAAACCTGTTTCAATATTAAGCAGCTCAGAACATCAATAAAGATCCTTTTTGTTGTTTCTAACATTAGCCATTTGGTTCCATAGATATTTTTGAATTCTATCGATGGTTGTTAGATTCTGCCTCTGGATACCTGAGCAGCTGGTCCTTTGGGATTTTTGTGCCTTGGCAAGACCTCCAATATTCAGCCCACCTGAAACCATACACAGCTACTAATGAGCCTGAATCCTGTTTTAGCACAACTATCCTCATCTGAGTGGGAAGCAAGATGATCTCAAAAGATGTGCACATATCTATATAGCTGCACTGGTCAGGTTTTCTGTCTATACTATTTTTCTACCACCTGACATTTTGTGCTGTGAGTTGAGGCTACACAGCTCCATCTCCTGGTCCCCTATCACACTGCAGCTTAAATGTGGATCAATTCTCCCAAGTACAGTTGTTGTTTTCTTGTCAAAAATGTACAACTCAAAGTGTTTCATGAATAAATATCTGAGGTGCATCTTATATGAGAGCTCATTATTTTGTCTTTCTAGTATGTTATTAGTTTGCTTTTTGTTTTCAGTGCCAGAGAGAAAGAAATCACATTAGCAGATGTCATTATGCCCCCCCTCAAAAAAAAAATAAAAAATGAAAATAAGTATAGTCAACATAAATTATAAGTTTTATACCATTTAATATTTTACTCTTGTCTGCATTCGTGTTGGGGAATTATAAATGCAGACTTTGCCCATGCAAGTATGTCAGGAACCTGGCACCTTTAATTGTAAGGCTTGTCATTAGCCCACATGGTATAGTGTATTTATACCTTCTCCTAGCTGGGAAAGGACAGTGTGTGATGGCAACATGACATGTCTAAAGGCTTGCAGCCAGTAATTATTTGAATTCACATCTGACTGCTTGAGATACTAATAATTTGCAGCAATCATTCTGAGCTCTCTGCTGCGCTGTCGTGCAAGTAAATATCTCAGCTTCTAATGATAGCTATCACATTAACAGAACTTCACCTAAGTGCCAATTTATGGCACCTGGCAGATGTCATGGCAAACTCTGATCCATTTTGTGTACAGCCTCGATCAGCACAAGGGACAGCAGATGACTGGAAGCAGCATGCACACAAAGGAATATGTATATAAGAAAAACGTGTTTGCTGAGGGACATATGATTGTTAAAAAATGGCTGGATGAGATAGTCTGAAGGCTATATTCAAGTTAGAACAGAATTTTTTTCATATTCAACCTCTTCAGAGGAGTACATGTGTGAAATAGAAAGGAAAAAAGAAATGTGATTGCCCTTTATACCTGAAATGGTAATTCTAAAAAAAAAAGCATGCACAAAAGTTTTTACAGACTTACTTTGATTAAAAAAAAATGCAATAACATAAAAAAAAAATACAAAAAAAAAAACAAAACGAGATGTTTGGGGATTTAGAAAAAACACAAAGCGGTGCATAACTCTGAGATGAAAGTAAAAAGGAAAAGGTTTTCAAATTTATGTGTATCTCTACCATATTTTCTAGAATCCCCTTTGGTCCCATACTGCTGGGGGTATTTCTCTATTTCGCTACTAGCCTTCTACATCAACAGACTGAAGTTTCTCCTTATGCTTCTTTGTAACGACGGTATCACTCAGACGAGATAAAGAGAGCATCTGTGTACAACAGCTTTTAAGCCTTGGCATAGATTCCCAGTCAGATTCAAGTCTAGCTTCTAGCCCATTCCAGCACATGGATATGCTTTGATCTAATTTGTTCCAATGAAGCACTGGCTGGAATTTCTGGGTCGCAGTCATCCTGGAGGAACAATCTTAACCCCAGTCTAAAGTCTTTTGTAATCTAATAGATTTCCATGCTGCATTTCCCTGACTTTAACTCCATCCATTCTGCCTTCATAAATAATAACATTCCTTCTACCTACTACAGGAACGCATCCCCACATTATGATGCTGCCACCATTATGGGGAGCACATTCCTCTGTGTTTTTGCTGTTCCCTACATGGCTTGAAACCAAAAACAGGACTTATCTTAGCTTTCTTTGGACAGTTTTCCCACATAATCATAAAGGCCAGATTTGTGGTGTGGTGGGACAATTTAGATTTCCCTTCACTCATATATTTAGTTATGCTATTTATCCAGTGAAAAATGTTTTTACTCTGTTTGTTTCACCTGTAAGGCTGAGAAAATGTCTGAGTGAGGGGTGGTTGTAGACAAAACATACTTATTCCCATGACAAGCCAAATTGTTTCTCAAGGTTTGCTAAAGTGCGTGTCATTTTTTTTTTTTTTTTTTTACTCTGACACAGCCTTCACAGTGTTTTCATCAACATAAGTAAGGGAGGCAAACTGTCTATTCAGAACAGGGCAGACCATTGTGCTGTTGAGACGTTGTGAATGTCTTGTTCTCAATTTACTTTGCAAAGTAAATAAAGTGCTGACTGAGTAAAATCCATAGATCTCTGTTAATTTAACTGAACTGTTTGGTTGAATACTTTTTTCCCCACTACAGTGTAGTGAAGACTAAAAGTTGACAGGTGAACAGAACTAAACACCTGAGTTAAGGATTTCTACACATCTTATTAAAAATGACCATAAGTAACATTCTGGGTGCTCTACAGATAAATACTTTTCATGTTTCTATTGTTCACAGATGCTCTTCCTTTTCTTTTTCTGAGGCTTTTAAAGATCAGGTGACTATATCCTAAGATTTAATTACATATTGATCCGATTTACTATTCAAGTGAATTGTGGCAGCGATTGGTGTACCTGGATCTTATTCAGGGTTGTTAGAAGCTGGACGAAATGCAGCTAAACCTTTTTAAGATTTTTTTTGTAAAAGTTCAAATTAATAATGATTCTCTCATAGCTATGCACTACTTTATGTTGATATATATATATATAAAAAATAAAGGAAATCCATAAATATTTCTGGTTTTTATGTTACAAGATGCCTGAAACGTTCTGCGTGACACCGCAGCACTTCTCACTTGCATTCACTGATCCATGGAGAATTATGCAAAATGAAAACTGAAATTAAAAGCAAATCATGCCAACAGATGTAGGAAGGCATGCTTCTGTCATGCCATGTGAAGCCAGACTCCAGTCTGAGACAGCAACATCTTCACATTAAAGAAAGGGTTACTGTACCACGCTGTGTCAGTGAAGTACTGCACTAGATGCTCCACTTCTAGCCAAAGGCGTTTTGCAGTGAGGAGGCAAAGGCAGAGAAGAAAGAATGAGGGAGGTTCAATCACATTCAGATTTTTTTTTTTTTTTTGAGAGAAGAGAGTAGACTTTAGGATAGAATAGGTTTAGAAGACAGCGTGGATAAAAATAGCTGCAGGTTAAAAGCAACAGACCACAAAAAACACATTTTTATTGGGCTGGATATGTTTTGATCCAGAAGTAAAAGAAAGCTGGTTTCAAAAAAAGGTCACATGTTAGGTGAAAAAACAAACTTACAAAGTTGTGTGTAGTTAAGATTATTGTAATCAATTTTAATGTCTTCTTCTTAAGTATGAAAAAGCTCTTTTGGTGAAATTCCTTTCTAATTTGTTCAGAAAAGGAGATGAAGCCAGTGTTTTCCATTATCCACCTTTCACTGTGCAATATTTGTTTATTTTACCAGCTACACTATAAGGCCTGATTACACTGCAGCTAAATGCATTTACTAAAGACTGAGCTACATCCATATATGAAAAAAATAATCATAGGAGCATCTGACATTGAAAAAACCCAAAATGTACTAAAATAAATGTACCTTGGCTACATTTTTCCCCTCATTCTCTATTATCCAAGGCTGAGTCCTGGTGAGATGTGTAAAAAGAAAGCAGCGTGGGCTCTTTTATTTGTTTCTTTCTTTACTCTGTTT